GACACTCATCCACAACATGCTCTGGATCACCGCATCTAGTACAATGTCCCCTTTCATTTCTGCGTTGTGCCCGACGATTCATTTGCATGCGGTAGCGTCTCGTTTGCTTGCGACCGGGTCCATGCTTCAAGATGATCCTCTCCCAGTGTGGAATCAAATTCCATCCCACCTCTGCCCATGTATCCGAATTACCAATCGGAGTAAAACTCCAATTAGTAAATTGAGCTACCCAGGTCGACGTCCAGAAGTGCTCATCGTACAACAGCTTTGGGTCACCCCCAATTCTACGACAGACAGCTATTGCATGAGAACACGATTTTCTATGCGTCTGCCACTTCCGACAAGTACAACGTTTTGCGGTGTAATCAACCTTATACCTGTATTTCCAAATTGATTTATATATATACAAAGTAAAAAAAAAATGATTTATATATATACAAAATAAAAAAGTTGAATGAACAAAAAATAATAAAAAAAGCATATACTTATTTGTTTTGCCCTCTTCCACTAGCACGTAGACCGGTTGTCACCGTGTACATGGATCTGTTGTAGTCTGTATATTCCACATCGTGAGTTGCGGCTGTTTGCTCTAGCTGCAAAAATGCGGCATAGTGCTCCCTAGCAATGGGACTCCTGCATCTGCTGGACTTGTTTTGTTCTTGTCGAAACAAATCTAGAGTTTTGTGAAATGTAGCGTCTACCAAAGCTCTGCACGGCAGGAACCTAACCCCTTTCAGGACGTTGTTGTAACTCTCCGACATGTTCGTTGTCAAGGTGCCCCATCTACGTTTTTCATCCCCATACTAGGTCCACCGGTTCAAAGTAATGTTGAAAAGGTAATTGTATGCGTCGAGATTAAATTCATGAAGTCGCTCTTTTGTCTGTCGAAACTTTCGCTTCGACAACTGCAAACCCAACTCCCAACACCAATCCCGGATTTTCTTACTCCTGAACCTAGTCACCACATTGCTTCGAAGGTGTCGAAGACAAATCCGGTGATATGCAGCGGGTTCTTGCCAATCCGGTAGTGATTCAATCGCACTGCGTAGGCCCGCATCCCTATCACAAAGAATGCATATCTTTGTAGAGCCGCCTACAACATATCGCCGCAGATTCCTGAGGAAAAATGACCAACTGTCCGTGCTTTCTTCGTCGACAGACGCATACGCGATTGGCAATAGCCGCTTATTCGCAGTCTGTGATACGACCACAAGCAATTTTCCTTTGTAATGTCCACGTAAATGAGTGCCATCGACGCTAATAACCGGCGGGCACATTTGGAAGGTTTGAATCGCGGGACCAAACACCCAGAACACAAATTTGAATTCTCTGTTTGGAACGTGTCGCGCCATATCACCACCCTGAAATTCCCAATCTACAACTATGTTTGGATTCGCTCTTTGAAGCGCGGCAAAATATCTGTACAATACAAATAATTTCATAAATAAATAAACATAATGACAGATACAAAACACGTATATTTGTAATTAATTTTTGCTTACTGAGGGAGTTCTACGAAGTTCGACTCCCAACTACCATACACACACTCGATTGCTTTTTTCCTGCCATGACATGCCTTCTTGTAACTGACGTCGACTTTTCAACACTGCTTCACATCAGTCTGGACCATGTTAATATTGTACTCCACTTTCCTCTGAATCTTATTAATTATAAGATTCACAATCATATGGGCGGTCACGTTTCTGTGGTCATTTCTGTCGACCTGTTGCATACAAGTGTGTTGGTAAGTCCATTCAGTTACTTCCCACAAATCATCACGCCGTCTGGCCTTATTCACCCGAGCCTTCCACAGACAAGGCACATCAGCATTCGAGTTGCAGAACACTTTGAATGTCTTCTTATTTGAATCTTTTGTCCGAATCTTCCGCAACATATCGACGTTCCAAGCCATTATACCCGTTTGAGCTTCTTCCTTGCTCCGGAAAACTGTATTCAAACGTATGGTCTCAATGTCGCCATTCCAGAGTGGAATAGCATACTCGTTCGCATCTATCCTGGACAGGTTCCCATTCGCCCATCTCGCGGTATATGTGCCGACCACCGCTAGGAAATGGGTGTTCTTCTTCGACGAACTCAGGTTCACTCTCCTCATTTACCGATCTATCTGATTCAGTTTCTGAGGTCTCATCTGTGAAATCATCTTCACCGGGAATAAAATCTTCATCAATATTTTCTCCGTCCTCATCCGCCGCCCATTCTCTCGATGTCCCTTCTCCAAAATTAGGTAGATGAGAAGTCGACATACCCTCGACATCAAACACTCCCCCGTAACAAGGAGTAACATCCTCAAACTGTGTAACGGGTGTATTTGCATGCAACGATAAATGCAAATACACCATGGACATACTAGGAAAGTAATAAATCCATTCAAAACTATCGTTATTGAGTATTGCAGGATTCCACGAACCATCAGGTTGGCTAATCATCATAGTAATCTCCTGAATTGTCCAACTTTCTTCAAACTGACATTTTGCATTGATCATCTGTACCAACTTTTCATATGATATTCTTCCCGGAATAATAAATGAACCACTCGGACGATCTTTAAACGAAACAAAATCGCTTAACATTTTCTTCCCAAAATGCCAGTACAAGTTAACAAGGTACGGACCAGAATAAGTCATTTTATACCTGTTGCAGAAATACACTTTCAATTCTTTCCAATTACAACAACACATAATGTCTAAATAAAATTTAAAACTCAATTTTTTACTCCAACAAAAAAAAAATAATAAAAAAATCAATCAAATAATCCTCCAAAACATAATACTCATAATCGAACAATAACATAAAATTCATCTATAATTCGAATAAATTGAAAGCTCTAATTATAACCCTAATTTCGAACAACCCTAACCCCAACAACAATCAAACAATTGACAATTTACACACAAAATTATAATCCTCAATTCAACATACACACATAATCGATAAACAATTAACAATTTTCAATCTTCAAACACAACCACATTCAAACATATTATAACAATCCTCGATCTCCAAATAACTCCAAATAATGTAAAAAGTAAAGATAAACCAATATACCTCGTGCGGATGAATTAATCGAAAATGAGGCTCGTATCGGTGTTGGCGATTCACACCGAGGTAAAGATTGGATCGAGTTTTCGTTTTCCGAATTTTTTCGCTTCTTCTTGCTCTCTTTTTTTGTTGTCTCGCGTTTTCTCGCGTAAATGAAATGGAGAGGAAAAGATTTTTTTTTTTATATTTAATATTAAAAACGTATTCTGAGAATACGTCCACCGACAGTTTTATTTGTAAAATGTATTCTCAGAATACGGTTTTATTTAAAAATATATTTTTTTTAATTCTTCTATAAAACGTATTCCGGAATTACGTTTTCGGTAAAACGTATTTCAAAACTATGTTTTACTTCTTATATTTACTATTTTTTTTACTATTGGAATAATATATTAATCGGAGTTTGATTTTTTTTTTAATTTAAAAATAATATAAGACGTATTCGCGGAATACGTTGTTCTAGTTAATTTTTTTTTTTAGAAAATCGTATGCCGAAAATACGGCTATTTGATTTTGGTCCACAACTTTTTTATTTTTTTTTTTTATTTTTGTCTACTTATTTTCTTAAAAAAAATAAATAAACTACCCTGGCATTTTGACAAAATATCGTGGAAAAACCGTTCCAAAACAAAAAGCAGAATTTGCACACCTTTTGCAGTTACAACTTACATTAGACTGTACTTTCTTTTCTGCGGACTCGCTGCAATAAATTGAAGATGGACGCGGCGGTGCAGATTAATGAAGAAAACGAGAGGAGAGGTCGGGAGCCCTTTGAGGAGGCACTGATGGTCGCGATGGCGGTTGACTGCGGGGCGGAAGAGGCGGATGACGGCGGTGGGATGAAAGGGAAGGTTCGTGGGCCGTGGTCACCCGACGAGGACGATATTCTAACAGGTCTGGTGAGGAAATTCGGTCCTAGAAACTGGAGTATGATCGCCAGAGGAATTCCGGGCCGTTCTGGGAAGTCTTGCCGCCTCCGTTGGTGTAATCAGCTCGACCCTTGCGTCAAGCGAAAGCCCTTCACGGGTAATATTTGTAGCAATTTCGTGAATTTATTTATTTATTTATTTTTTTCCGGCATCTGATTTTCCTTTCATTTTCATTTATAAAGGAGAGGGTTTATGTGGGTTTTGGTTATTTGAAAGGATATGGTGCCATTGTTCTGTGTGTAGATATTAGGAATGTGCTGCAACTGATTGATTTCTTTGTTTTCTTGTTTGGTCATATTATTATTATTTTTTGTATTCTTGTTTTCAGAAGAAGGTGTGTTTTATTTGATTTATTTTTAATACTTAAATTCTGATGTCTGCACTGCTTTCATTTACTTGGAGGTGACATTATAAAAATCTGTTTCTATAGTAGTCTGTTACCTTTGGGTATGATTATGACGATACTGTTTCATTTGTATTCTATTAGAATCATTATCTGGTCCTTTGTTGCTTTACGATTACCCAGAGTGGGCATACAAGAAGCTTGACCAAACTACTTTGGATTCACATGGCTAGTTATTCCCAGTTTATAATTGTCATATGTGTCTGATATGTTCTGGGCCGAGTGTGATTCACTGTTAGCGTGTTGAATAAATTCTATTTCAGTTTGCAAATCATGAAATCATTTTTATGTTTCCTATTATTAATGAATTCAAGGTTTCTGTCTGCTTTTGATGAAAGTACTGAAATAACAGTTTCAATAAGTTGACACATGGATCATTGAACTGGTAATGAAATACTACAGTATTCTGTAGAATTTTAGTTGGCAGCTATATTAACAGTTTCAGAGAGTTGATGACATTTAGCATCATAATTATGTGTGCTCTATAACATGCCATCTTTGACCCATCATTCCATGTATGTCTGTGGTTCGTGGTTATGACGTTATGTACATAAATCCTGGCTTTATTTCCAAGTTGAACCTGAATGACAAGTTGTCAACTTTAGATTTAGATTCAGCATCTTTTTCAAATTCTCACCCCCCTACCCCCCAGCGCTATTCTCTTAGTTTTAATTTTATTAAGCATCATTTTGCCTTTGATATCTTAAGGGTGAACTCAGTCTTTGATGTGCTAATTCTTTGGATTGCCGGCCTTATGCCTTCCATTTTTGGTGTTCAGATTAATGCTATAATTTTGTTTGGATCAGCAATAATATATATTTGTAGCAGAATCTGATAGGAGTAAAAGGTTAATGTCAAAAACTGAATATTATTGTACAGAAGAACTTGAGGTTCTTGAAGAAAATGAGGTTGTCGGGAAATAATATCCCGCCCTAACTAAAAGCCGACAAACAATAATAATTCTCTCATTTCCTAAGCAAAAGACTATGGACTCACTTGGAAAAAAATACTATCCCTAGTAAAATAACCCTACTGGGCTAAGGCCCTAGGGCCTGAAGTCCACAAAATTTATTTTAGATAATATAGCAATATAGTAGAGCGGTATGTGACATTGCTGTCCCCTTTAAGCTAGCATTGTTGCAAGGCTTGTAGTAACTAAGCTGTCCAAAATCAAGCTGACATGCCATTTTGTCCACTGAAACAGTTAAGGCTCAAAGGGATTTGTTGTGGCAGACATGCGTCAGGCTGTATGTTTTTTTACACTGAAACAAAACTCTTTTGCTCGTGGATCTCGGTACTCCTGATGCAAATAATGGCAATTCCTTTTGGAACAACAGATTGGGTCGGATTGCAGATAGCAGGGCCAGAAAGAAAAACTGGAATTAGGAGATGAGGCGTGAATGTTTTGGCCATCTTTTGTAGGAAACGAGCTGGCTGCTGTAATTGGCTGGTTTGGCGAATTAGGTGTAGGTAATGTAGGGAGCTGACAATCCCAAAATACATACCTAGAGGAGATTGTCTGAAGTAATCATTGTCCATGTGAACCCCCTTAGTTCTAGACTTTTGTTTATTGGAAGTGGGCTATGTGAGTAGGTTTGTAAGTTTGGTGATGGCTTGAGGTGTGTTAAATTCCCCAAGGTTTCATCCCTAGAATCCACACGTGTCATATCCAGCTGCTGGTCAGACTACTTCATAAGAGTGAAGGGTTAATGTAAAGAATTAAATATTAATATGCAAAAAAATAATAAAAAAGACATTAGTTCTCATCAGGAAATAGTATCTACCCAAGCTAAAAGTCGAACAAACAATAATAGTTCTCACGTGTCACACAAAAAGACTAAGAACTCATTTGGAAACAACTGCTAATGTCCAATTCTCAATGTATATGTTTGTGTGTGTATATATATACACACACACACACATACTTATCAAAGATTTACTCAAAATAAACTATTAGTTTCTTTGCAAAATTATTTGTTACTAAAAGAGTAAATCATGTGGTTATCATTTATGGCCCTTTTTTCCTTCATTATTGTTATTAAATCTCCAATGATTATTTCATTCCATACGTGATAATACGAGTCTATAGACAGTTCATATGTGATGAATAATTTCAGTTTTAACTTTTAGCGTACTATGATACGACAACAATAACAACAACAACAACATACCCAGTATATTCCCAACTGGTTGGGGTCTGGGGGGTCAGTTTTACGCAGACCTTACCCTTGTAATTATACAAGGTTTTAGCGTACTATGATAATGAGAAAAAATAATTTTATTATTTTCCTTATTGTGTCTTTAGCGATGAGGATCATCATGAGGTTTGTTTTGATCTTGTACTAAGTCCATTTTCTTTCTTTGCCCTATTTGTTTCACATACAAATACATACATGTCTTTAACCTTCCTTTTTTGGTCCGTTAATTATAGGATTTTTTTTTTTTTTGTTTTCTTTTTTTCTCTTGGAATGTTAAGACCAAAAATACAAGCTCTTTTATCTGTATCCTTAAAAATGAGGGGGCAGTCATTCATGTTGTAAGTTGAAAAGTCATTGATGGTAATTTGGACACTGACAGTTTGCAGCATATCTCTGGTTGTCATTGATGGTAATTTGGACTGGACACTGCCAATGTGCAGCATATCTCTGGTTGTGAAGTATTGGGTGCAAAAATTTTTACTCATGGCTAATCTGTGTTACGTACCAAATGTCACCTTCGATTCAGTGCAGATTACATCAGTGTTAGTGTGAACTTTAATGTTCTTACTGTAGTACATTTCACATTATGTATGGATCTTGTTCCATGCCTTGTCCATCTTTTAGGTTATTTTCCCAAGCACTTGTTAATTTTCAGGAGATTTTATCTTCAGAACTGTTAAAATGATCCATGGAGTTTTTGTAGTACGAGTTAAATTACAGTTACACATTGTACTTGGTTAGAGTTTAAACTGTGCAAATGCTCAAAGATGATGGGGCTTCATGGGGTTCTACTTCTTGGTTGAAGTAATTTTCCCAGGCTGTTTTACATATTGATTGTTGATTGTTTATTATTCAAAGCTATGTACATATTGAAGTATAACGAAGAAGAATGAGCCTCATGAATTGTTTATGATTGGGTTTATAGTTGTGTTTATAAAGTAGAAAATTCCTGGATCCCCAACACCTCTTTGTATTTGCAGATGAGGAGGATCGTATTATTATTGAGGCACATAAAGTGCACGGGAACAAATGGGCGTCAATTGCAAAACTCCTCCCAGGCAGAACAGACAATGCAATAAAAAACCACTGGAACTCTACCCTTAGGCGCAGGTTCCTCAACTTAAGAAGGTCAATGGCAGCCGATCAAATGTACATTGGCTCGAATATCAACTCGGTGAAGTCCTTTTCAGACGAGACCCCATCAAACTTACCCCTCAATTCGTTCAAGTCATCTGACAAAATGAAAAATGAAAATTCAGAAGACACTGTCAGGATTCCACAGCTTCCACTTACTTTAATCGAAGGCAAATATCAAGCTACTTCAAGCTCTCCTGTTACGGAACAAAAACAACCCCTCCATGAGAATGTTTATCCCTCAGGCTCACCTGACAACTGTCCAATGATTTCCAAAGTTGGTGCCTTTACCGTCTGTAATAATTCTTTTTTTAAACAGAATACTGAGATGTTCAAGTTTGTCGACGGGGGGCCGATTGTGCGGTTGCAGTGTGGCCATGGCTGCTGTGATTGTGAAGGCCCGAATGGTGTGTTCCCTAAAATCTCATTGTTGGGGCCTGAGTTTGTGGAATATGATGACACACCCGATATGTTTAGCCCTGAACTGGCTTTGCTTGCTAGGGATTTGAACAGTATTCCATGGATGAGAAGTGGTCTGGAGGAGAATATGAAAATCGATCAAGTGTTAGACTTAGATGGCCGAAATGTGTTTTCCGAAGATGGGATGAAAGCTTTGAGAGCTGAGGTGGAGGAGGTTATGTGATTCAATCTTCTTCATATAGGGTTTTTTTGTGTAAAGATGCTCCTTCATGTCATTTTGAGGCTGTGAAGATGAGACTAGTGTCTATTACTATTAGTGAACAATTGTTGTTCTCTTAACCTCATTGGGTTATTGCAGATTCCCGACTTCTGTCTGGTAGTAAAACTGTTAAACATTTCTTCTTCCAATTTCTGAGTGGGTCTTTGTTCTAATGCATGTGATAATTGTCCTTTTACAACATGTTTTCTGTCTTGTAATTGGTGTTTTTGACCATCGCTGGGCTCTTAATCTGGTGTTCCATGATGAGTTCCTTTAGAGCGGTTAGGGTTTGGTTGAAAAGTGAAATTGAGCTTCATTCTTCTCCGTTTGTTGCACATTTTTTGGGGCATGAATTATATATATAGGGGTAGATCAAATGAGGTCAGCTCTTAAAATGCGGACACTAACCTAGCACAATTAAACAACTAACCTAGCACAATCAGATAACTAACCTAGCAGCATCAGACAACAAACCTAGCAACTGCAGAGACTGCATTTTCTAATTTTTTTTCCAATTGGTACATAAAATAGAGGTTGAAAGCAATGTTATGAAAAAAAAAAACTTCGAAAAATGAGTCTCGATTGGGGCGATATAGAGGTTTAAAAATACAACAAAACGTATTTTTTTTTCTTAAAAATGAAATTAAAGCAAGAAAAATGTGTTTTTTAAAATTCGGGCGGCCAAACTGCCTTCGGCGATTTGCAGCTGCATAGATCTCGTCGAGCTACCCTAAATAAAAAAAAAAAAAAATTCGTCCAAAACGGAGCTTTCTACGCAAACTTATGGTCTTCCAAAGTTTTGCTATGTGACCCTGCAAATTTTCATCATGTAGTTGCAACTACAAACAACTAACCTAACTCCATCAGCCAACTAAACTAGTAGAATCAGACAGCTAACCTAGCACCATCAGACAACTAACCTAGCAACTACTAACAACATCGGACAACTAACCTAGCAAAATGCTCTCCCTTCTCTCTAGGTTTCTCTCTCTACCTCTCACCCCCTATCCATCGTCGATCACCGTCTAGCCATGTTAACATCCGCTCTCCCGGCGTCGCCTCTTGTGATGCCGGCAACAGAACCTCTCTCAGTTCCTCCCTCGGCAAAATCAGACGTTGCTGCTGTATACAACTATTCTTTGCACCCGGACTACAACCCAATAAGCTCCACCTTAATCGATGAAGAAGTTTCGTTCTTGCCTCCACAAGCTTTGTTTCCCGAATCAATTGAAGGATTTGCTCCTGTTAGTATTAATTCAAGGCCTTCAACAGAAAAATCGCAAAAACTGGGAACAGATACTCGATTTAATGTCCCGTCCTCGCCCAGAAATACAAGCCACTTAATGCCAAAGTTTCGATTCGGATCGCTAGGTGAAACCGATAACTGTTTTTCCCCTGCTTTCGGATCTTATGATTCGCAGCTCGGAGTTCAATTGTCGGAGAAGATGATATCAGTCCCATTGGAGTCAGCGGTCGATCTTGGCTCCGTGAAGG